GCTGCCAGGCTCTGCAGCAGCAGCAGCCACAGCAGCAGCAGCTCCTGCTGCTGCTCCTTTCTTCGGCGCTGCAGACAGCTTGGCTGCCTTGTCTCGTGCAGCTGGAGCAGGAGTAGCAGCAGCAGCAGCAGCAGCTGCTGCTGCTGCTGCACTTGGGGAAGATGCGTCAGCCGCTGCTCTAGGCGAGTCGCCCTTCCCTCTTGCTGCAGCAGCAGCTGTGGGGCTTGCATCTGCAGCAACGCGGTGCAACTGCTGACGCTGCTGCTGTTGCTGCTGCTGCTGCTGTTGCTGGTGGTCTGTTGTGCTGCCGCTGGCCATCTTCCCCCCAGCAGCAGCTGCTGCTGGTCCATCTCCCTTCAGTCCTCCATTGAGCTGCTGCTGCTGCTGCTGTTCTGGTTGCGGCCGCTGCAGCTGCTGCTGCTTTTGTTGCTTGTGCCTCCGTCCCTTAGCATTTGCTGTTGTCGCTTCTGTCTGCTGCTCTGCAGCAGCAGCGCTCGCTGCTGCTGCTTCTGCTGCTGGAGCTGCTTCCCTCTTTGACACTGCAGCGGGGCTGCTCGTTGCTGCGCCGTTCGTGCCCCGCTGCTGCTCCTGCTGCTGCTTCAGTCGAGCTGCTGCAGCACGAGCAGCAGCAGCACTTCTGCCACTTCTATCTGCTGTTTCTTCTGCCCCTGGAGAGGCTGATGCTGCTGTAGAACAGGTGGTGGCTGCAGCAGAAGCAGCAAGAGTTTCAGCAGCAGCAGCAGGAGCTGCTGCTGTTTCCACAGCAGCAGCAACAGCAGCAGGTGCAGCAGCTGCTGCAGCAGCTGGCGCAGCAGCAGCAGCTGCTGCCTCCTCGGCGTCTTGCGCCGCTGCTGCTGCCCCAGCGCTCTTACGTGCATTCAGCGCGTCGCTGGCAGCAGGTGCTTGCTGCTTCTGCTGCTGTTGCTGCTGCTGCTGCTGCTTCTTGTAGAGTTGCTGCTGCTTCTTGGCCTGCTGCTGGGCGGGCTTAGAATGCTTGTGCTGCTGCTTGGTACTGCTGCTGCCTTGGGTTGCGCGGCAGTGGTCGTGCAGCGCAGTAGCAGCAGCAGCAGCAGCTCTTTGCGAGGCTTTTGCTGCAGCAGCGGTAGCTGTTTCCCTTGCTGCTGCTGCTGCCTCTTCCTGCTGCAGCTGCTGCATGTTTAAAGCAGCAGACCGCTCTATCCAGCACTGGTAGCTCGCCCAGAAGATTATCATCAGCAGCAGCGCAGCAGCAGCAGCAGCAGCTAAGACATGCCACTGCAGCAGCCAGGCCAGCGCAGCGAGAGCAGCAGACGCCCCGCCCGCTGCAGACAGGCTTTGTTGCTGCTGCTGCTGCTGCTTCTGCTGCTGCTGCTGCTGCTCCTGAGCAGTTGCTGCTCCAGCCTCTGTCTGCTGCAGATCTCCCGAGCCGCGCGGGCCGCCCCACCTGTCGACCCTGACGACCTCCCCCTGCTGCTGCTGCTGCTGCTGCTGCTGCATGGGAATGAGGGCGAGCAGCTCTCGCAGCCTCAGCAGCAAATGCTTCTTCCTGGCGAGAAGCG